TTCATTGGTTCAAATATTGGACACAGTTTTTTATTACATGTCTCAAGCTTTTAGCAAAGATCTTACAGCTCATACAATCTTAATTAGAAACAAATGAGGCTTGTTCTACCGAATTTGATGGAATTTCTTTAGGGATTTTCGTTGGAGGGGGACGTGTTTACGAGCTACTAAATGGAAGTTGCCAACGCGAAGATCGTATAATCTGGGTAATCAGTTACACAGAGCAATAATTGCCACCGTAATAAGCTTTGTTGCTTTCAATGTGCACAGCGACTATCCCGCTAACAATCTCTATTGATAGAACTACACGAATTCCCCATTATCGCATGTCGAGTGAATCGTGTTTCCCCGGAAGCTAAAGACGCCCTTCTTGGATACCGTAAATGAACCTTTTCTCGGGGTGCCGAACGCAGCTCCGTTAATAATGTAACTTCCAAGTCTAATCTCATTTTCCGGCAGTAGAAAATTGTTGAGAAAATGGCAGAGCGGAGATAAGGGGAGTCGTTTAAAATTAACTTTATATTAAATTGTTCATCACTTAACTGGAGACGATTGATAGATCGATTAAAAAATTGTTCGGAAACTGCTCAGTCGTTTCGCGAAGATAAGAGTTGCGATTTGCGGACTGCTCAGCTCCAAATTAATCGAATCTCGTTAATCTACCTTCTTCGACGGTTTATTACGAAAAGAATAATTAGTATAGCCGGTGACTGACTTGTTGATTAAAAGCGAGAATCAGTTCGTACGACGTTCGAACTGGTTCGGTCGTTAGAGACGCTCGTTACAGGTTTCGAAATCTTCCCGCGATCTCAAGCGTGCGATTGTAATTAATGCGCGACCGCGATGCGTCGGATTTCCACTGATTAAAATCGGTCCCTGAGGACTCCCATCGGTCGCGTGATGCTCAGATTCTAAAAATAAGTCACCCTCGCGGAAACCCTTCGAAGAGCCCTGTATTACGGTCGAGGAACGAAATCGTAAAAGTCTGCTTTAAGTTATGCTCACTCGAGCTTTAGCGTTGACATTCCCGGCTGTGAAGTCAGCCTGTCACGGTTCCCGGTTTCTCTATGCGTAGAAACGACGCGCCGAGCGTGAACGTATAAAGAGAAGTCGTAAAAGAAACAACACGAACCGGGAAGTGAACTCATACGTGAATAACCCCGAAGAAAGCGTAGTCGTGATTCGTTCCAAAGAGGAATCGTTAACTGCGTTCGAAAACCGTTTGCTTTAATGAAAAAAGAAAGAAAGAAAGAAGGAATATGGGACAAAGGGAGTGACCTCTTTCCGCCTCGCGTCTTTTATTAACTTCCACTCTACGCCTCCGTTCCCCGTAGGTGGAACTTAGTTATTGATACCGATTACGCGTCGAGAAATGAATTCTCTCCGGCGCTTACCCAGACTGGAGTCGTACGTATTGATGTACTCGCTGGTCATGAATTGAGAGACCAACGCGGTCTTCCCGACCTCGGAATCGCCGAGCATCACCACCAGGTACTTCGGTATTTCTTCCATCTCCTCGCTCTCTATGCTGTCCGCCCCGACGCCTTGTCCACTGCAGCAGGAACCGTCGAACGGCGATCTCTCCCCGGAAACGTTGCTGTTTCTATAATAACCATTAGAATTACATCGTTAGGTGTAAAATGGAATTTGTTTCGAACAAGGGTAAGAGTAATTGGCTTTTGATATTGAGTCATCTGCCTCGGCTTAATAAACGTCTAACTAGTTACAAGAGAAATCCCATTAAACAATCTTTGAACAAGAAGGTCTCGCTCATATCCAAACTTTCGACACTCCGCAATAATCCTATTAACTTTCAGATCATACTCCTTCCTAACGAAACTGAAACATCCAAGAAACGTACCCATCTCACAAATTGCATTACGACACCTATCACCCGACCCGAATCCGAAACGAGAATGTACTAGCAATATTTATTTCGTTACTCCACCGGAACTTTAAATAGATATAAAAAATCGATACGATGTTATATAGGATGGTTTCGAGAACCGGGCAGAAGCTTTTGGCATCGAGAATACTGCGATGCGCATGCAATTGGCGTGACTCACGACTGGGAGATCTGCGAGATTATTTATTACCCTAAACACAATGCTATTACTGTGTCTGTTTAAATACAATACTTTCCATTAGACAGGTTTTTAGATTACTTTAACGATTTCGTCCTGGCAACGCGCGGCTGTACGTGTCACGTGGATTGAACGAAACGTATTTACATTTTAACCGTATGAAACGACAGGAGACAGTCACGAAAATAAGAGTCGTAGAATTTCTGGGCTAATCCAATGTCGGCCGTGACAGCTGGTCCAGTGGTAATATCGATTGCAGAATTCTAATAAACTCTCATCGACTCTCTATCCGTCCATTTTCGGTCCGTTGAATAAACCACGATTACGTGTAAATCATCCGAAAATCGTGCTACTAAATATATTTTTCTGCTCGCTTCAAAAACGGCGAAACAGAGAAAAATGTAACAAAAAAAAAACGTAGTAAACCGGAGGAAATATAGGGAGCTCACGGTTCTGCGAGCCAACATTTTTTATGGTACGTGAGCTTGAAAACACGTGCTATTGCAACGCGTAAATACATACCTGACGAAGAGCTAAATTAAAAAAAGAGAGAGAGAGAGAGAGAGAGAGAGAGAGAGAGAGTAATGGAAGTCATCTGAAAAAGCAGGGAAAAATAGATACACCCTTTAGATTGCACCCTTTGTACTCGAGATCCATCGAAGTGCTTCTCCGGCAAAAAACGGTACGATGGTTAATGGGAGGAGGAGATGTTCGAGTCGAATGTTTTTCTCCGTCACCGGTTTCGGAGCTAAGAGGATAGAGGAATCGATTCTAAAACTGAATTTCCGACAGGACATTACGCGAGGCATTACGCAAATCGGTACAAGTTCCCCGGATTTTCTCGACGCTCGATTAAACGCCGGCTGGTTCGATGAGACGAAAAGAAAGTGGCCAGATAGAAATCGAAATCGAGCTTTTTCATTATGCAATTCGCGATTCTCCATTCTGTAAGTCGTTTTCAATTTGGAATAACTGCGTGCTTTCGCACGGTTAATCCCATTCGACCTCTGTTTACATAAATTTCCTGCATTCTTTATAAAATACGCCCGATGCTGTTTGCGAGTTCGTTTTAAACTTGAATTGTTATCGCGTTCCAGAATAATTTGCCCTGTTGCTCGGGGTCTGAAAGCTGGTTTACGATTAATTGAAGAGGATTATTCTTAATCTTGAATTTGAATGAGGTTTTCGCTAGGCTTTATCCTCGGATAATTCCGTTCCGTGGCGAAAAGTTTATTTAGTTGGAAAAGTTTATTCGATTTAGGGCCTTATCGATCGCGCGCCGCGCCGGGTAGCTAATCAAATTTACGTGCATGATGCCGGGCACAAAGAGAGCACGAGCCTAAAAGGAGCCATTGAAACAGCCAGAGCGAAGTAAGCCTTCTTTGAACGAAACAGGGTTCTGAACCTACAAACGGGAAATGCTTTTTCCCAGATTTTCTCTCCACTCCTGGGCGAAATCTTTTTTTTCCACGCGCTTAAAAACATTTTCGAAAAATACGTGAAGTACCAATTTTTCTCCGTTAATTGAATCGATCCATTGACGATTAAACTTGGCACAGTGGGCGACCACGTGGGACTCCGAACGAGAAAACCGACGCCCAATTTGTTGTTATTGAACGCTCAAAAATCTCCATCAAAGGGGTTGGAAATTCCGCGTTCCCAATTGCATTGACACGTGTACGAAAGTCGAGATCCGGCTTTCGCGTCCGCGCAATATTTAGAATCCTAATGACTTTTGCTGTACACATCGGCACGTGCGAGAAGCCATCGACTGTGCACCAAGCTCGGTCTTATTTTATTTATAATACCTTTGTGCGCACTGTTTAAAGTCTGCGTCAGTACGTTGTCTCCTCTGAATACCGCGTTAATTCCTTTGTCCATTGTACTTTGCGCTGGAGATAACCGAACGAAATATGGTAATTTATATAGAGTCACTATTGAGAAAAGAAGGATTCCTCGTTTTTGATAAAGCCACGCGCTGCACTCCAGACTGGGAGAACAATGCGTCGCGCGTTCCACTGGGCTTTGGCACGCGCCAGCACGTGCGTCCACAAGAAGACGAAGTTATATATATATACGAATATAAAACGGTGGTGAGGGAATAACCTGGATGGAGTATAACAGAACGAAAAATCACTGCAAATATTTACACGGCGTCTATTTGCAGAGAAACGCATTCGCCGGGGATCTGCGGGATACAACGTAATAATTCGCGTAATAGCCGAGGTAATAACCGCTGCGGTGGAGGTAAAACACGCCCCAAGAGTATTTTTTTTTATAGCTCAGACACAATGGACGGTGCGTTTTCCCGATGATCGAGCTTCCATCGACTTTTATTGCTCCGTTTTGGACGCCTTCTCTTTTCTAAAGGGAAACGTGAATTCACGTGGATTAAAAGCGCTCCGAGGGAGAGATTAAACGGCGCGTTTTAACGCAACGAATTTCCATGGAAGAATATGTACTCTCGTACGCTAAATCAATTCCCCCTGTCGGATAAATCTTTCGGGTAAATGAAATGAAATTAAATCTTAATGAGAGATCTGCAAGTCCGTTAGAAAAAGTATGTACGGGCGAGGTATTTCTCTTGGAATTTTTCCGCGGAATAAAAATGAAGAGCGCTCGATCTTCATTGAAATCGTTCGGACTTCTGGCCCTATTTTCTTTTAAGGATGTATTGGCTATACAGTCAATCCCAAAAGTTGATGTACCTTAGAAAAACGCATTTCCTATAATTAAAAAGAAATCAGACATCGGAAGAATAATGCTAATAATAAATAGCTATGTGCTAAAA